CATTTCATAATATATCTAATATTATATTGTGTGATTGATCAACAGTCAGCATCGTTATAAATAATCATCACTGATTCTCTTCAGCTTTTTATTTTTGTACATTGAAAATGTGATGCAGCAGCTTTTACATATATATAATATTATATTATTATATTATATTATTATTATACAAAAGAATATATATATATATAATATACAACATATATAACATATATAAGAGTAGCACTGGGAACTTTTCCAGCTCTTGTTTCCTCCAGAAGGGGGCGTAGTCTTCTAACTTCCTGTTTGTGCTTTCAGGGTTCTAAGGAGCTGCAACGGTTCATTTCTACCTCGTTAGAAACAACCACAGACACAATCACTGAATCACAGACACAAACAGACACAATCACAGACACAATCACAGACACAAACAGACACAATCACTTACATAATCACTGACACATTCACAGACACAATCACTGAATCACAGACACAATTCAATTCAATTCAATCACAGACACATTAACTCAAACATGCTGATTAAGAAGAAAATGTGAATATTTGAATGATGATGAAACAAAAATAAACAGGAAGCATAACTAACATCAGTTGTTGTTTTATTTGTACTGTAATACTGCTAATGCTAATGCTAATGTACTGCTTATACTGCGAGTATCCCCCGCCCCCTCCCCCACACACACACAGTTTCTTAGACTCACCTGGTTGCCATGGCGACCTCCCCTCCCTGTCACAATGCGTCCATCAGAGCGTCTCAGTGAAACCTGAGCAGGCGTGGCGGCTCGTGGTCACCTGATCCGAGCGACTGCTGAATGTTTGATGGAGGCTGTCAGAGATCCTCTCCACAACAGTTCAAACACCTGAACAGGTAGTCAGCAGACAGGTAGACGCTTCAACAGGACGCTCCGAGGCTTCAACAGGTACCGACTCTGAACTTTAACATTTGTTTTATTTTACAGGTAGGAATATGTTGTTAACCTGTGTGACATCATCAGTGTATCAAGTGTCACCTGTGTCCAGTGCGAGTCTGTAGACAGGCTGTTACACCTGTTACTGCAGGACATTATTCAGAAACACTGAGGGTACGTCGGTTTGTGTGCCGCAGCCAGGTACGAGGTTGGTGTTTCTTTATGTCCTCTGTGTTCACCAGAGGTCGAATAAAGTTCTGAGTCTTTGTACAGAACGTGGACTCATCAGTTGGTGCTTCAGTGTGTGTGCGCTCATATATATATATATATATATATATATATGAGCTCCACCAGCTGAATCGAGGGCAGAAGTTTGAGGAGTGAAGCAGAAGCAGCGACTCCACTCATATCTCATGTGCTCAGCAAACTCTCTTATTCCTGAGGATATCCTCTCTTCAATGATAGGACCAACGGTCTGGGCACTAGAAGCATAATCATGTGAGGTGGTTGCAGCTACAATCTCTATGAAATTAAACCTAATTAAAATAAATGTGTCGTAGGTTAAACTTCACAAAATGAAACTTAAATGCTTAATGACTCGTCTATTTCAACTTTTGACACATTAAAAAATCATCATTGTTTATATGTTTATGAAGGCGACTGAAAAACACTAAAAATGTTCCAGAAATCCGAGATTATTTCCAGGATATTTTGTTTTTCCAGATGTTTACTCTTTAAATGTTCCAGGTTTTCCAGGACAGGTCCTGATGAGTGAGTCAGCAACCTGAACCCAGAAATGTACAGTCAGGGTTATTTAAAGAGGTTATTAGCGTGATATTCACACCAATGACACTGAGCTCCAATATATTGATCATATTTATAATCTCACACTGAATCACAATCAGCTGAAATATGGACACTTCTGGTTTAAACATCCATTTTGTATGTTGAAAATGGACCAAGCGGATAGTTAGCTAGCCTTCTGCCAGCATTAGCTGTCAGATGTTTAACTAACAATTGACCTAGATTAGACAGCTAGTTTGCTAGTGTTTACCTCTGTAGGAAAATGCTAAAAAACTAGCTAGCTAATTAGCAAGCTTACGATTGATGTAGATTAGCTCAACAAACACGAGTCTAGCACAGATGTTTGGTCTCAATCAGCCAATCAGCTGCTGAGATATTCTCCATATAATTTTTATTTTTATTTTTTTTTCTCTATCCACTGTGCTGCTGTAAGATTGGAATTTCC